GAAGCACAACATGCTTAAATAAGTGATAATCAGTAGATTTCAACGCCATCACTTGATAAGACATCAGAAGTGTTGAAACAAAATGGCTATTTTTGTAGGGATTTTATAACATATTTATGTTATAATTTTCGAATGAATAATTATATATATATATATATATATATATATATATATATATATATATATATATAATTATTCTTTCGAAAATTATAACATAAAATGAAATATATAACATCAAATGAATAAGCATTTATATATATATATATATATATATATATATATATATATATATATATATATATTTGAGGCAGGAAACTTTACACAATAGACTCTTCCAGGCCTATATTAGTAGGCGACATAGCAATACAGAGTGACAGAGAGTGACACACAGAGACAGTGAGAACGACTACCAGTGTTGGACATAACATACACTAAACCTGTTGTTAATATATCTTTTTACATCTAATCCGTGTTCCGTGTTTTATTGGTCCCAACTTTATATATATATATATATATATATATATATATATATATATATATATTATTTATTCAAAAATTATAACATAAATATGTTATAAAATCACTACAAAATAGCAATTTTGTTTAAGCACTTCTGGTGTCTTATCAGGATCACTTGATAAGACATATTTATATTCGAATTTTCGTAAAATATAATTATATATGCCCCATTCTGTACTGAGCAGTCCTTCAAGAATAGTATTTGTTGGTTATTGGAATCTATTCCGTATACACCAATCCTGTACTTATATATATATATATATATATATATATATATATATATATATATATATATATATATATATATATTATGGCATAAAAAGCAAGAAATCTTATATTATAGGCCATGATAGATTAAAAATAAAAGCAAAACCCAAGCGTATTTCATGCAGTTCACGTGAGTGTTATATTGCAGCGAATGTTCGTGTTGTCTTTCAAACTAAGTCCGTACTTTCCTCTATGTGTAAAGATTCTTCCCCCCCACCATATTAACTCTGTTATTTACTATTTCAAATGTAGTTGTGGATGCGACTACATAGGTAGAACGACACAGCGGTTGGACGTTAGAATTAAACAACACGTACCTGCTATAATACTGAATAAAATTTTTTCTTTGGGCGATACCATTCGTAACATATGGGTCTTCGATTGCGGATCACTTTATAAAGACTCCCACTTGTGCGATGGATTTCAGTGTGAACTGGTTTTCTGTTTTGGCCAGTTGCACTCATTATTCCATCTTAAGGGGTTGGAGACGCTGTACATCAGGTCCAGGCAACCTGCTCTTTGTAAACAAAGACTTGACTTGCTGTGCTGCGCTTCTAGCATCTTTGTTGGTATAATTTTTTATAATTATATAATTTTTTCTTCTCCCTGTCCATTCATTCACGTCATCCATGACAGACTTTTTTTTCTCTTCTGACCCCGTTAACAGTTCTGATGAGAGGGGACGAAACCGGTCGACTGGTGTGTATTTTTGTTTTATTTTAAATCTATCATGGCCTTATAATATAAGATTTCTGGCTTTTTATGCCATAATACGTTTCTGCACTGTTTCAAACATATTTAAATATATATATATATATATATATATATATATATATATATATATATGTGTGTGTGTGTGTATATAAAATTTCGAATTCCAGTCGAATTCATTACATTCAGATACTTGCTACTACACTTAGAAAAGGAATGAATTCTCTTCTGGATTCTATAGCCTTCAATGGCAATTAATCGGGGAGAACGACAACTCTAAATTCAAAACCCACGGAAGGTTGTTTGCTGACCTTGCGGCACGTAGTGCACCGGGTCTCTGTATTCATAGCAACATTGGTGCTCATGGCACAGTATAAGTCATATCGTGACTGATGATCAAGGTTAGTGGTCGTGATACAAGATATATCATATCAAGTTTGGTGGTGATAGTACAGGATCAGTCATATCAAGACTGGTTGTCATGGTACAGGATCAGTCATATCAAGACTGGTGGTCATGCTACATGATCAGTCATATCAAGACTGGTGTAATGGTACAGTATCAGTCATATCATGACTGCTGGTCATGGTGTAGGATCAGACATATCTAAACTTATGGTCATAGTACAGGATCAGTCATATCAAGAGTGATGGTCATGGTACAGGATCAGGCATATCTAGACTGGTGTAATGGTACAGTATCTTTCATATCAAGACTGGTTGTCATGGTACAGGATCAGTCATACCAAGATTGGTTGTCATGGTACAGGATCTATCATATCAAGACTGGTGCTCATGGTACAGGATCTGTCATATCAAGACTGGTGCTCATAGTACAGGATCAGTCATATCAAGACTGGTGCTCATAGTACAGGATCAGTCATATCAAGCAGGTGGTTATGGTACAGGATCAGTCATATCAAGACTGGTGGTCATGGTACAGGATCAGTCATATCGAGACTGATGGTCATGGTACAATATCAGTCATATCAATTGTGGTTATCATGGTACAGTATCAGTCATATCATGATTGATGGTCATGGTGTAGGATCAGTCATATCAAGACTTGTGGTCATGGTACAGGATCAGTCATATCGAGACTGTTGGTAATGTTACAGTATCTGCCATATCAAGTCTGTTGGTAATGGTACAGGATCAGTCATATCAAGAGTAGTGGTCATGGTTCAGGATCAGTGTTATCAAGACTTGAGGTTATGGTACAGGATCAGTCATATAAAGACTTGTGGTCATGGTACATGATCAGTCATATCAAGGCTGATGGTCATGGTACATGATCAGTCATATCAAGACTGCTTCTCATGGTACAGGTTCAGTGATATCAAGTCTTTTGGTCATGGCACAGTATCAGTCCTATCAAAATTGGTGGTCATTGTTCAGAATCAGACATATCAAGACTTGTGGTCATGGTACAGGATCAGTCATATCAAAACTGTTGGTCATTGTAGAGGATCAGTCATAAGTGTGGTTGCCATAGTACAGGATCAGTCATATCAAGCTGGTAGTCATGGTACAGGATCAGTCATATCAAGACTGGTGGTCATGGTACAGGATCCGTCATATCAAGTCTGGTTTTCATAGTACAGGATCAGTCATATCAAGGCTGATGTTCACAGTGACTTTACAAAAAGATGTTCTCTTAACACATCTCCCTCTGACAATAGTTGATCTTGCAATCTGCTTTGTATACACATGTACCCTTGGAAGCAAATCTTCTCTTATCATTTTTATATCCTATAACCTCCATTATGAGATTGTGACAGAACCACTGATATCAACTGAATCAAGAGTCAACTAGCGTCTGATTAGAGAGTTTAATGTTTCCGTATTTATATATTTTTTTCAGAATTTACTAAATAGATAACGTGTGCATTTCAATTTTTTCCCCCATGTTTTCGCTTTGTGCCATTTTTTTCTATATTTCCACTTGTGCCATCTTTACCCGTGTAATTTTTACTTGTGGCATTTTAATGGCAGTTTCATTTCTACCTGTGGTAATATTACTGTGCACCGTCTTGGACAACTTCATGGCTCCATAGTTGACGCAAGAAAACAAGATTTTTAACCAAAATTTGGTATGTTCTAAAATGATTTTAAAACATTAATTTTTGCATAAAAATTCCTTTGATCTTTCCTCTAAATAATAGCACAATCATTTTAACGTTAAAACTTTGTTTTAGCGAAATTATACAATGATTCGGAAAAAAGCACCTGATGTTTTTATATATTTATATATAATATTTATAATATATGTAGGTTTACAGAGAAGTACACACATACACACAGACACTCACACAGACACACACACACACACATATATGTGTGTGTGTGTGTGTGTATAGTTGGGATCTAGATCAGAATTATTTTCATCTTTATTCCCCATTAAGTATGCAAGATTTGCCAAGTATTCGAGAACACACCATCAGCGAACCGCAAAGAGTAGACGACGACCTAACTTAATTACACGAGAGTTTTCAATCTCTGGCGCAGGACATGAAAATGTGAGTTGGGTTCGTGGTAATAGCCAGTAACCACTGTGACGCGGAGATATCTAGTTTCTAGAATGTAAACAGGTGAGTAAGATGAACGGACCTCACGGAGATATGTACGCCAATTGCCACTAAATTCACATTTGTGCACAACCAGAGCCACCTTCCAGACCTTTTCCCACGCACTGTCACTATTATTACTTATATAGAGGTACTGGGCACGTTGGTCAAGCCTTTGTTCGGAAGACACTACTCCCGTCAATATGGTCCACTTGATTCAGGTGTGTCTAGACGAGAATTTTCACCTAATTTAAAATCCTCCAGACTAGTACACCTGCGACGTCATCGAGAGACCCGCCAGAGGTTCTATTACAACAAGGGTTCTTTAAAGAATGCGAACTTGATCACTGAGAAACACTTTATCTTGGCGTACGTTTGCTAGCGTTGCCTCTCCAAGACCTTTGTCGATGAGGACAGTCACATTAAATAAACTTATATGGTCGCACATGTGTATAATTCCTTTAAATTAAGAAGCAGATTTCTTTTAAAGAATGTCTTTTTTTCTTAGACCATAATTTCTTCTTAATCACCAGCTGAAATTTGCTGGTCTATACTTGAGAACTTTTGACATGTCCAAGAACATATTGGTGATCACAAAAAAAGAAAAGGCAAAAAAGTAAAATAAACCAAAAAAAGTTCTAAAACAAGAACGAACATGACTGATTGATTCACTCATTTTTTTTAAGGCTTATCAACCCTTTGCAGGTTATTTAAAGCCAGAAAATGTTTTTTTAGATTGTGACAATTTTTTTTGTAGGGAGATAATAATGATTTATTGATTTAAGTTTTACTTATTAATCTATAACTGGGGAGGGGAGAAATTGTAGATTTATAACTTTTCCAATGCTATTTGCGTGTAAGTAAATATAATGAACTAGACGGGAATTGGAACTGGAGTCTCTGCTTATTATCCATTACATCATCTGCGCATCCAAGTTTACAGCACCTGGTATTCCCAAATAGTTACCAAACTAAGTACTGACCAGGTTTAACGTTGCTTAACTTCGGTGATCGTACGGGAACCGATGAACAAAAACATAAGTGGGGAAATGAAACTAAGTAAATCACGCAAATTTTAGTTCACACTGGTTTGACTCAGGGTTAGATAGGTTTAAATTTAGACTCCATAAGTACTTTTTAATTAAGTTTATTAACCGATTTCCATGGACTCATTCGTATCTAGTTTAGTTTTCTTCTTATTTTCTTGCTACATTTTAATTTTAAATATTTGCTAAACTAATCAAAGTCTAGCAGAGAGTCGCACTAACAGGGCACACAAATTCAATTTATATCTTAGAAATGGTTTGCTAGAATAAGCTACTAGTCTTTGATCTCTGAAGGGCGATTATTTTGCATCCAACTAATGCTGGGTCTTTAAATGAAAACTGAATAATTTCACTAGAGAATGGTCAGCCAGACGAAGTTGAGGTCAGTTTTTCTATGATAGAAAACAATTATTTTCTTAAACTCTGTACTTAACCCGGCGTTAGTCACGTGGAGTGTTATGTTACCCCGAAATTTTTAAAATTTTAGAAGTAATTTCGTGTTTCTTTTGCTCACTGCCACTACTAACCCGACTCAATGAGGATGTGCAGCAGCCGGTGTGGCGCAGTTGATGAAGGGTTCGGATCGAAATTCCAACATATATCACCTGAAGAAGACCGGAGCGTTCAACGTCTGAAACATTGTAAATAGGGCAATAACGACGAGGATAACAGCTCGAACAATGCATATAGTGTAAATACGATTGACTTTTGTCTCATAGAAGTTGAAATTGTAGTGTTCGGGAAAGTATCCATACGGAAGTCTGTTCTACAAATTGGCAGATCTTGAGGAAATTGTTCGTTACATTTGGAATATGGGGAAATAAGTATGAATCGACTGTGAATGTTAAAAATAGAAAAAAAAATTCTAATGTGTATATAACGACTTGTGCAAATTAATTGAAACAACCCAAATAATTCCGTTATTATTTACTTTTCTCCAATGAAACATGATCCAATGCGTGTGTTAGTACTTCGTATATCCATTTCACGAAGCCGTTCCTTGCAGATTGACCAAAGATTCTCGATTGGATTTAAATCAGGAGATTTTTCCAGTCAGTCGATAGTGTTTTGATTTGCTCACTGTTAAGACTTGCCATTGTGTTCGTGCAGGGTTACAATTTTTGTACGTTTCCTTGGAGTAACGTCCATCGCAGACAATGGCGGTAGGACAACTAATCGATAATCGAGACAATAGTGTCTGGTCGTGATGAAAATCTGATGCAATCACAGATGACGCAATATTTTTCAAGGCCAAACAAATTTCCTCATACATCCGAAAAATAGATTCATATTACTGCACAACACTGCAATTGACCTAATTTGAGGAAAAAATAGAAATCGATTACACCTTGTCACTCGTGAGGGTCTAAAAGTGACCGTATGATGAAAAAAAGGAAACTAAAGTGGTTGTTTCAATTAATTTGCACAAGGGTTTATGTTATATACTTACCTAGACAAATTGGGATAGAAAGATTTTTTGGGCTATAATGAAAATCTCTGTTCAAAATCATGGCTTGATCTGGGAGACTAGCTGCTAACTAGTATGTCGTTATTGCTCTTTAGTAAAAGTAACTTCATCTGGTACAAGACTACAATGGTGGAATAGCTTTAAGCAGTGACTTCATTAGATTAGCAAATGGATAACGTAGTAGGTTATTGCAACTCTGACTGTGAAGGTTAAAAATAGAAAAAAAAAGATGATTTTCTCAAGCGTTAATTCCAATGGAACAAAATGAAATGAGTCAAAATAAAGAGGACAAGTAAATTCTATTGCGTCTCTCTTTTTAAAAGGAATAGTTTAACCGTTTTTGAAATCAGGCATTAGAAATTCCGAAACATTTTCAATGCATTGACGTAAATGCGCGGGAATTATAAATAAATGTATTATCCACACTAAAATGTTTTTGTTTTTTTTTTGTAATTTAAGATGTACTCCTTTTTTTCCGATTTAATTATTTGTTGTAGTGTCACCTTTTTTTTGGGGGGGGTCTGTCAGATATAACTTATTGAATATTTTGTTGGCCAAAGTTAAAGTTTAAAATGCAGTAAAGCGAATGAGAAAGGAAAAGAAAAAACTATTATCAGTTATTTTAAAGGTAGGTATCGACGTTTAGATATTCCGAAAAATTTAAGGTAACCTCCTACGTAACCTATGGAAGTTGAAATTTTGCATTTGTGTGTGTTATATGTAAACAATCAAATAGAATGATACAAACAATTAGGTTTCTATTACGGGCGCTTTTATTTATTTATTTTTTTTTGTTTTATGGCAACTGTGGTGAAACAAAGTTCTCAATTTCTCTTTGGTACATCCGTTTTCATTTTTTGGGTTCAGAAATACGTTCGGATAACAATGCTTCAAAAAGTCGAGCTCAAGTCCCCGCTTTACGCTGAGTTGGAACGACCAATTCTCTTACGTCATGAGTAGAGCTGCTAAAACACGTGCAAACGCCATGCGTTGGAAAGTGGAAAAGACTGAGAGAATCAGTAGTCAGTGGAAAGTAACGTTCCTAGCAGAGACGTAATTACTATATGGTGCTACATCTTTGGAGAAAGAGTGCATGAGTGAGAAAACATGTACCTCTTTATAGACCTCAACAGCGCCATCTATCGTCCTTTAACAAAACTAAGTGGCATAATCATATTTCCAGTTCGTTTATTCTTAGCATCATGGGAAAATGTTTTTATTTCTTTTTTATTATTCATTATTATTATTTTATTTGTCGATATTATTTCATTTTCCCACAAGCCTCTCAACCGGTTATTCACTGACTTTCGAGAATTCACAATATTTTCTTCATAAATGGTACAATACACCGTGCGTGTGAATCCCATTTTACTTCTTTTAAAATAAAGACAATAATATTTTGAAAATGTTGAATTTGTTCCCATATTCAGTGTTAAAATCAATTAACAAAACTATACAAATAAAAAAAAGAAATGCTATGACATCCGAGGCAACAATCAAAAGCGATCTTTATGAATGATCCTAAACCCTCCTAATGCCATCTATTGATAAACAACATCTTTGGTTAACATAATATTTCAGTTCTACCTTTCTATTGTTTGCGATTATCATTCATTCAAATAGTCAATCATTGCTTCATTCACTTATTCTTCGTCGATTCTTTCCTTCTTTCGGGCTATACGATTTCATTTCCGTCTTTCTTTCATTCCTTCTTTATTTTATTAATTTCTGTTTCCTTCCTTTATCTTCCCTTTTTATTGTACAATTTTCGTCCTTTCTTATATACGGATATTCATTCTTTTTACTTCTTTTTCGATATCCTCCTTTTATGTTTCTTTCTTTCTTTTTATCTTTTTTTTTCATCTTCTTTGATCTTTCTTTCTTTCTGTCTACGTAATCTCATTCATACACCTTTCTTTCACTCTCTACCAACACCTATTGGTCTATTTTTACTTTCGGCTTCTTTTTCTTAATCTCTTCTTCAACGTTTTATTTTCCTAAACAATAAGCCTTTCGTGCGCTCGGCCGTACGGTGATTGTCTGCGTGATGTTGGCGCACGGTTTGAGCTGTCAGTCCACCGAACAACCTAAATAGAATAATAACAAAAGAAAGAAAAAACAAAACAAAAAACCAACCTTTCTTTCCTCCATCACCCTAAACCCGCACTCAACTTTCTCTTCAAATCCCTCCTCTTCATCGTCATCGAAGTTTTCTTCTTTTTTTCTTTTCCTGCGTCACGATTCTGTTGGGTCTTAACAAATAAACTCGATAAAAAATAATAAAAAAAAAAGAAAAAGAAATTAGCGTCGAACGAAAATGACACAAACATTACTGAATTGCAACAACAATGACGTCGACAGCCATAAATACTGCTCCCACCACTGGTGCAACTGAGACGAACTTCGTCGATGAGATCTCGTTAGCAGTCTCGCGTCTTGTTGACGAAACGAGAGTTCATCGTCAAAGAATGACATTCAAATTTTGCATTTAAAACGCCAGCGATGTTTCCAACAATCCATTTTGCACAAGTAGTCATGCAAAGTTTCCCCAATTAAAAAAAAAAAAAAAAGCTGCAAAATTTGTGTTTACCCAAACAGTAAATAACTTTAAATTAAAATTATTGAATTTTATACACCTTACAATGTTCCATCGCTTTCATGCGCCAACCAAAAGGAGTAAAGTTATTGAAAATGTAATATTTTATGGTTCGTAAGGAAAGAGAAAAAAATGTTTTCTTGTATTTTTGGATAAACCACCATTTTTGTGCTTGAGTGGCCATTCGTTTTCCAAATTAAATACAAAAACAAACAAGAAATTGTTTCTGATTGATGGATAGATGTTGTTTATGATTACAAAACGTTTCAAAGAAAAGGAGACCTTTTTTTTACAGTTTCATTAAACGACTATTTCGCCTAGCTTTATCTAGAGACAAGTAGGGTGTTCTTTCAGAGGTTACCTCCTCATACGCCAGAAATATATTCAATGACCCCATAGTGGATACCTGACACCGCGGACAGTGACGAACCCTATATTTTATGCTCTTATTTGCATACGTGCATACATACAAATAATACAGTTTAATTTTGAAATTCAATACAAACTAAGACGAAATAAGTGCTGAAAAGTTCTTGCCTAGAAGGATGTCGCAAACTCTGAGTTTCTTCGTTGTGTCATCCATTTTTAATTAATTTTAAGTAAAATTATAACAAATATACGAAAATAAATATTACGTCCCAGCTAAATGGGGTTGCTAAAACATCTCTGCACCGTTACATAGAGGTTGATCGTAACGTTACATTGTAACGTTGAAAATGTTTTTATCTGTCACGTTACATTAACAGGAAATCGATAATAAATTGTCGGAAGATATTGGAACGGGAATCCATTATTTAAATTAGCGTTTTAAAATTAAAAAGAAAAAAAAAACACGAAAAGAGACTTTATGCCTTCTATACCGATTATTAAGTGATAAAAAAATGTATTCTGATGTTGTTTGAGTAGGGGGGGGATTTAAGCTACAGCCCTTCGTATCGTCACCATAACGCTGTGGAAACATTGGAGATGAACGATTAGTTTGGCTTGAGGAAAATAGTTGATTATAACATTACAGTAGCATTGCCGCAACGTCACGTATCCCCCCCTCGCCCGTCTGGAACGTTGAAAGAATATTTCGTGTTAGCCAGGGTGACGGTGTGGGAAAAAATCAATAAATAATAATAATAATGAATAATAAAAAAGGAAAAAGTAACCCATTCTCTCATGATTCTAAGAGTAAAGGAAACAGGATTACCCCACTTGGTTTCATCAACCGTCGTTAGGTGGCATTGTTGAAGCCTCCGCTTTCTTTCTCCTTTTTTCTCCAAAATATGAACGACATTACGTTCCCACTGAAGAATGTTAGTTTCCGAGGTTCACTTAAGTCTGAACTCTCTTTCCACTTACCAATGCATGGCGCCATGTCTCCCAAAAATCTTCACCTATGAAGTGAAGTTTTAATTTTGGTTGTTCCAAATCAGCGCAAGGCTAACTCGAATGCGACCATAGTAACAATGGTAGACTAACCCTAACTTCTAGCACGGTAGATTAATGGATAAGCGGTTCGGATTGAGGAGTTGGAGAGCCGAGTTCGAATTCCAGTCCAGTTCATCAGACTCACTTACGGGTTAATATACTTGGCAAAAGTTTGAATCCATCTTTTCACTCAAGCTATGGGTTAATAGCAGGAAATGTTTAAGTTCTATAATCTTGGAAGGATAACTCTGCATTCAAAACCAGCCTGCAGAAGACTGGGCTTCGTCAGTATATCTTACCCAGGAAACACTACTGCGGATTCAATATGTGTGCTGCCCCTACGACCCTCAGGGGTTATGGGTTGTTTAAAAAATAAAATTAAAAATCCTTTAACAGAAATCTGAAATTGTTAATTGTAGTATCAGTATTATTATAGTATGATAACAATAATTTGTTGTGATTTGAAAGATCGAGTGATCAATAAATCAGTGGAAATAATTCGGAAACAAAAATAGATAAAAGTGTTTCAAGTATTAAATCTTTGAAAAGCGTAGCATTTTGTTGAAATCGATTTAAACCTTAGTCTGAGAAAAACAATAGATGCAGTCATTTACCAACCTGCACTTCATCAGGAATACCATTAATTTTTCTGATCTATCGATTAGAGAAAGCTGAATGCAGATCAGGACTGTACTGGGCTTGAACGTATCATAATCACTGAATCCATTCAATTCATGTGGGGTTTGAAGTCAGGGTTTGAGCGGAGTTCAATCCCATTTTTTTTTCAGTTTAAACATCTATATCAATATATGGTCGAATGGTTAGATCAGTTGCTTTCTGATCATGAGTCCCTGGTTCGAATCTCAACAGGCTTGATTTGTTAGGAAGTAGACTTCCTGACGTTATCGGTCTGGAGGGGGACGATCTCAGCGTGCGGCACCTTTGGAAAATGCCTGAAAACCATACCACGGGTGGGCCCAAGCCTTGTGAGTGAAATTGGGTAGACAGAACACATGGGGGCTGTCGATAGCTAAGTCACAGTCATCGTGACCGAGGGTATGAGTGTGCTGGCATTGTTCAGATTTTTGATCATGCTACATAACACGCTCTCTCCCAGAAACTGTAACTAAGCACAGCATATAAACCACAGGTTGGCTCTGTGGATGTTGAACAAACACAAATGTGCCTGAGCGAGTGTCTGTAATAGAGATTGCGTATCTGTATCAATATATCTGCGTTTGAGTGTTTTGTGAACGAATACTATTCTTACATGTACTAGTCTTTAATTAAACTATTATATACTATTATATTGATGTCACAGTCAAATCCTTTTTCCATTTTGTCCAGAAATATAATTGATCTACGCCACTCGTGAATATGATGGACATTTGCACTAGTCAAAGACAACGTTTCATTACCATAATTCCATCTATAAATGCGTATTATTTATTTTCACTTCTAAATATTTGCGAGGCCTGTCCAGAAACCTGCCGAGGGCAATGACAACCTATTCTCCCTGGAATGTATCTCTCTTGGAAACTCCCATATTTATCGCAGCGACCTTTCCACATAACTAAACATTCTGCAATGTCGTTTTTCGAAGTTGCCATCAGATGCGTCGTGGCATCCATCACGTTTCAACCTTGGTGGATTCGCCAGATAACCAAATCTCGTCTGGTCTGGGAAGGGGCGAGGCCGATAGACGTGAGTGCCTCGATGTCGTGACACAAACCCTTGATAAGACATTGAATGTCAACCATCCATAGTACACGAAGTCATTCAGTGGAGGTTCACTTACCCATGACAGAGTTTCTATTCAGGCAAATGCAGTAAGTTACTCTTTTACAGCAAACCTGCACATTATGCAGTTTTGCTGTAACTTGGCAGCTACAGCAAACCTGCATAATGTGCAGATTTATTATAATATATATTTATTATATATAATGATGTTAATATACAATGTAAGAACAGAGCAAGTATAAAAAAAAACGGTAATAAGAGAAAAAAGAGAAAAGGAAAAGCTTTAATAATAAGATGGGAAAGACAGATTTTTTAATTCATTTCAATATATGGTTTCAATATAACATTTCAATATAAGTTTTTTTTTTAAGTCTTATTGTTTAAGCGAACATTAAAGTCAGCGACAGGCTGTTCACTTTTATATTTACACACGCTCTATCTCTGATATTGAGCACTTTATCCCATAAATATTGTACACCTTAAGAGTATATTTCTTCATATATATATATATATATATATATATATATATATATATATATATATATATATATATATAATATTTCTCGAATGCGTAGGAATATATGTAATACTTATTTTCTTTAAAATAAGAATAAAAATGTAGCGTCTATTTCAAATACTAATATCCACCATATTAACGTTTGAAGTAATAAAATATATAATTAGAAATATATCCATTAATTCTTTAAACCGAATATGAGAAAAAAAAAAAAGCCGTCAATTGCTAATATCTCCTGAAGAGTGGAGAGAGTGATTACTAAAAGGTCCGTCTACGACAATCTATAATCGGAGTAGTGAATATAATTTCGAACAGCGGCATTTTAGGAGACACACGTGTTTGAAGAGACCCCCCCCCCCACCGCTTTTCTTTCAAACAGCGAGAATGACATTTAACGGCCTATGCAAATGTTAATCTTAATTATAAAAATGTTACCTTCGGCAATGTTTCAACCGGTGTTCACCTGATAACATCTTGTCAGTCGTGTTTTGACAGCTCGGCCATGGAGAGCTTTATCGCCGAACAAAATTCAATTACCTTTTTATGCAATGCATATTTTGTCATTCAAGTTTTCTCAAAATTCCATATCTACTCCAGAGTCCATGTATGCAAACTATTTCTATTTTCGAATTTGAAACGTAAACAGAGTTATTTCCACCGAAACACGTTTACCCGTTAAAATATACCATTTAAAGAAAGGGCAAATAACGCCGACTTAAAGATAATTTAAAAAAATGGGAAATGAGGATCATCAGACCTAACCGTACCATATTTTTACTTGTATGGGTGAGGACTGAGAGATCTTATTTACAGACTAAAACCGAGAATAATTCCTGAATTAAAACAAGCAATTTTTTAAAAAGTTTTGAAAGTCAATGTGAAAATGTGTTAAATGGTTTGTAGAAGTTTGGCCGATAGGATTCAGCGTTGTATTGAACATGAAGCGGAACATTTTGAATAGCCTTTTTTTTTTAAACATAAATTTACTTAAACTGCTGTAATTTATTTTGGTTCAATGTAAGTTAATAAATAAAAAGGCCTTTTCATTTGCCATATATATATATATATATATATATATATATATAATTGAACACTTTACGTTCCTCGACTAGTTTTGGCCAGCATGGCCCTCGTCAGGAGAAAAAACATCCCTGCTTGTTCGTGACAGTGAATGACTGTTTCCGAAGAAAGTGAATTTTATCTGTAGTTTCATTTGTTTGTTTTTTTTTTTATCATTAATTTTGGTTAGTCCTTGTGTTGGTCAAACGGCCTCTTTCAAGTTGTTTTTAAGAAAGAGGATGTGAGATTCCTGACTTTAAGAATTCATTCCTGGGTCATTTTGACAGTTTTATTGGTTGCTGGGAATGGGCGCACGTGTGCCTGTGTGTGTGTGTGTGTGTGTGTGTTCAGCTTTTAACGTTATGTTCGCACCTTAATTTGCATATTTTTCATTCTTTTTACCCTTTTTTCTTTCCAGACTTTGTCTCTTTTCTCGTTTCTTTTCAGATGTTATCACTTTTTTCTATCTTTTCTCTTTTTTACAATTTTTTCTTTCCAGCTTTCCTCTCTTTTGTCATTCGTTTTCTTCCCTCCCCCTCTCTCTCTCTCTCTCCCGTCTCTCTCTCTCCCCACGTCGGTCGCTTCTCCAACCTTTTCTTTTTTTTTCTTCACCATAACACCCCTCCAATTTCCTAACTCTTTTTTTCTTTCTTTAAGTTGTCTTTCTTTCTCTTTCTCCTTACTGCAAGTATCGCCCCCTGGCGGCAACTAGACTGATTATTCACTAATGGCGGATCGACTGATTGTGATAGAGGAAGTGTCGCCGGCGCTCTGTATGAAAGTCTCTCGCCTGCCTGGGGCACATTTAATTGCAACCTTTTCTGCCTTCCTTCTTATTATCCACGAGAGATGCCTCGTTCGGCAGGGCGGCCGCCGCCTGCGTTGGCCGGTCACCGTTATAAGGACCCTATCATTATGGCCAACATTTCGTGACGATTGTCTGCTGTTATTTTCCCGCTCATTCGCCTCTTTTCCTGCCACGAACCTTCACCCTCATTTTCTTTTTCTCGTTTACGCTCCATCTTACTTTTTCTTGTTATTACAACTTTTCTTTCCTAATACGTTCCTTTTCAAAGCTTTTCCCACCGAAACTGCATTTGGGATTTCTTTCTTCCTAACCTTTCTTTCTTTTTCCTTTTCTTTTTTTTTCTTTTCTTTCCTTTCTATCCTATTTTGTTTTCCTTGGTTTTCTGTTTTCCTCTTTATCTTTAATTTTATTTTATGTTTTTAGATATTATGGATAATTTCTTATTTCAAACATTTTGGTATTTCTTTATTAATTTTATCTTAATTTGTTCAATTCTTTTTATCCATTGATTCATACTCTTTCTTTCTTTCTTTCTTGAATTTAGCAATTTTTTATTCCTTCCTTGGATTACGAACACATTACTTTCAAACACCGGTCCCCGTACGATCATCGAAGTTAAGCAACGTCTATCCTGGCCAGTACCTAGATGGCTGAACTTTTAACAATACCAGGTTCTGTAAGCTTGGCTGTGCAATTGAATTGTTAATCGGAGAGACAAGTTCCAATTCCCGTCGAGTTCCTTATATTTATTTATGCAAAGATACCTCTGGGGAAAGGTATGAATCCACTTCTCCAGCTATGGATTAATCAGGAAGACTTGTATAAAGCATTATTTTACCCCCCACACACACACACACCAAAAAAAAAAAAAGAAAAAAATTCTCACAATAAAAAATATTCCCGACCACGAATTAATAAGACGTAGAAAACTAATCAATCAATGAATAAAAATGATTTCCTTGATTGTAATTTGTCTTGAATACTTCTTTTGCGGTGACTTGGGTACCAGATATGACCAGCACCGTCTATATATCCTGTATGCGTATATATATATATATATATATATATATATATATATATATATATATATATATATATATATAGGTAATAAATCACTTGGTATATAATCCAGGTGGATCCTAGTAATATCAAATATTAAAACTGATCAAAAAATATCTAAATGTATTTATTATAACAGAGCATATATATTTTTTACAGCAAAAATCCAAAATTACCTCATATAGGTATAGCCTATTTCAGATCGACATAACAATACCAATTTTCAGCAGCATTGAATGCCATTCAGGGCCAATGAAGATTGGCATTGTTATACCGAGCTGAAATAGACTATAGCCATATGAAGTAACTTTGGATTTTTTTTATATATATATATATATATATATATATATATATATATATATATATTCCGTATATATTAAGGTGTCAGTTCCAATTTGCATGTAAACCATTTAGCAGGAATCAAGAAGCGAAGAAAATTGAACTTGGAAAACTTTATTCCCGTTAGTGCCTCAATAATATCTTTAAGAAGATTGAATTGGGAAAATCAAGGTCAGTTGATTGTGTAAAATTTGTCGATAAAGCTGTATATATTTAGGCAGTATATATCGAAATGTGTTTGCTTGAATAATCAAAGCATATTATGTCTATATATTTTTAGTTAATCCTGTCAAATTCACGGATGAATTTCGTAGTATTATTATCAAACTAATTAAGAAAGACGCCTTAGTTTTTCTTATTCTTTTTATTTTCCCAAGTACTTTCAATCATCCAAGAAATTGATCCGTAAATTAGAGCGGCTTAAAATTAAAACAAATTGTCATAATATGTCTAGATTATTCAACCAAACATACTTGAATACTTGAATATATATATATATATATATATATATATATATATATAGGGACAGGGAAAGTGAGAAAAACCGTTCCATACCAATGATGACATCAAATGTATGATTTTAGCTTTTTCATTTATGAGCCAACAAGAAAGAAGCAAATCGGAGTTACTCTACAGTTTCAAAATAGAATCACGAATTAAAGGATTAAACAGACATTTGGGCTTACTCAGAGAATATAGTTTCCACAGGGACCCCTATAAAAACACTACACAACCCTAATTCTGACAAACAATTTGGCCAAAATCAAATTTCTTACAGAAATACAATATATGATGAGAAAAATAAAAACAAGAAAAACATTCCCCTGAAGAATCAGTCCCACTTATTATTTGTTTATTGCCAGTCTCTTTGAAAAATGACACAGGACTTCAACATCTTTCTCTTTGTTCTTCAATATAGTCAAAAAGCTAATATTTAATAAATACCATCAATCTGTTATCATTTTGTTAGCTTTTTATTCCTCAGATTTCCTATATATATATATATATATATATATATATATATATATATATATATATATATATATATATATTGTCATCCACAGACAGACTGTTTCGCAGCTCATCAGTGTGGCTCTTGGTATCAGTCAGAGATTCTACCCCTAAGCCATTGGCGCATGGGACGTTTAAGGTGAATTTAGACGTATTTATTTTTAGATAGACACGCAAGTGACTGGGGAACTCGATTAATCTTAACGTCTCTATCTTCCTCTTTCTCTCTCTCTCTCTCTCTCTCTATCTATCTATCTATCTATCTATCTATCTATATATATATATATATATATATATACACATGAGATAACGTTATATATCGGTATATATCGAGAACAATATTGGAGAAATTGTATGACAAAGTGGAAAAACTTTACTTGTGACGTGTTTCGTCAGGATTTCATAGAAATAAATTTGTTATGCTACCAACATAACATATATGGTTATATGTCAATGCATAACATGGTTAAATGTCTTTATATAAATATGGTTACATGTCTCTATATAATTATGGTTACATGTCCCTATAAATATGGTTAAATATCTCTATATAACTATAGTTACATAAATATAGTTAAATGTCTCTATATAAATAGATATATCGGAGAATTAAAAATAAAACAACTCATTCTTTCAGGCTTGGTGTTTTATTCATTTTATTTTGCATTGATGTTTGTCTTTTAAAAAACTTTTTAGCGAACAATAGCTTATCTGGGAAAAAAGCAGTTCTCTGATAATTTGTTTTCTGTTGAATAAAGTTATTTAAACTTAGGACTGAATTTTATCTGAGTTCCAACTCTTGTCTCGTTTGACATTGGAGAGAAGTGCCATGAGGTGGACTCGGAAGTGATTACATATCTAGTCAGAGGGGTTTTCATTAGTAATTATATCCCCAGTGGTGCTTTGCATCTGCCTCGATGACGTCCCAGATGGAGCAAACTAGGGGATTCAAATCAGGAAACATTCGGAGACCATATTTTGGGGGAAATATGAAGATTATCGGTCCGCCATTGCTGGGTCACGCGCAGATTTATAATTTGAACACTTTTGTTCAGTAACTTGTTTAGGCGTAACATTGACATCGAGGTCCGGGTCAAGATCCTCAGTCCTTCAGAGATTACGTGCAATTGATGTGCTTCACCCTAAGAATTACCATGGGATCCGAGCAAAGTTTCCTCTCAGACAACTTTCAAGAACTTAACTTTCTCTAAGTCGCAGTAGTTTGCCACTAAGACCACGAACTGAGTGTCACTTTTCATTTTCTGGGTTAGATTAGAAACTGACATTTTATTACTGTCAATTCGCCTGAATAAAATTTTAAAATTTGGCGCATGCCGCGTGAAATTACATTAGATCATTTTTATTTATCCTTCTTCTCAAAATCTTCTCTTCCTACTCCACCTCGTTTTGCATTAATATCACATCCAGTCGTAGCTTTTTTAACAGTAACCCTCTAGCCTCAAACGTTTATGTGATTTTATCAGTAATCCTCTATCTTGAGGAACTCTCGAGCCTTTTATTGTGGGAATTCTAATTTTTTAAAAGTTATCAAGCAATTGTTGATTTTTTTTTAACCAAATATAAGTGCCGTTTGGATTAGACATGCCGGGAGAAATTTTTTAATTTCTTAAAAAATAAGCGCTTCGGGCATTTCCACTTGGTGTAATGGTTAGCAATCTTGACTCGTTAGATCAGTTATGGTTGGCTAGTGAGTTTGATTCTCACTGGGTGCTCTATACGTTCGGCCTTGTGCCACATTACAAGCAAAGATTATTCGAAAAAATATTTGAAAAAGAATAAGCGTGTCGAACCAAATAATCATCGTGCCTTGGTTGGTTTTTGTATGTGTGTGTGTGGGGGGGGGTGATTGAAGGAAACCATTTAATCGTGTCGGTACACAAAGCGTGTATGTCTAAGAAATGCTTACTGAAAAATGTTGTTTGAACTGCCGACGGCCTTCTCTCAAATTCCTGTTACGTTTTCACCATCAGTTTAAAATGTTAGCTGTTTTTCAGCTTCGAAAATGGAGAATATCAATTCGGAAAAATATCCATTTAACAGAAGAATTTTTCCAGCAGTCAATGGTATTTGGATTGAAGCAACATATTTTTCATATTTTTCATCTTCGTGTGTTACAGAAACAAAGAAGCCGAGTATATTACATTGCAAATGTTATTATACGGAACTTGAAATGAATCTTATTCAATATGTCTCAATCTGTTTACATCGGGAAACAAAAAGAGTTTCAGGAAAACGATTAAAGACAGATTTGTTTCATATTATCAATCCGAGATCCACCCCAGTCGGATATTCCGAAAAGAAGGGTAACGGATTTGGAGATTTTATTTCTTTTGGAAAAATTAAAATCTTTAAAATCTACTAACAGGTAGAGCCTCAAATTATAAAAAATATTTTGTCATTTTTTATCACTGACTTAATGCAGCTATAATTGAAAACGCGTCTTTGAATAATTTCATTAGATAATCGGATTAATTGGATTTTTAAATGCTAATAACTTTTAATTCAAGTTTTTTTTTTCTATCTGCTTTGCCGATTGGCGCAACACAATCTTTCATTATCATTTTTGTCATTTGATTTCACAAGAATAAGATCATAAGTATGTCTAGTGTTTGAAAACTGTTTTCATTTTTTTAAAGCGTTTATTATTATTATTATTATTATTATTATTATTATTATTATTATTCTGACATCCTTTAATTTCTGTTGTATAAACATTTCCTTCTGAGTCCCAACCTTGTGACATTTGATCAGAAATGGCTTTATGACATTTTTCACTGATCAATTTTATACATATATAACAAAATAAGATCACATATATTTTACATTATTATTGTTTTATTTCCTTTGATTTCTGGTGTGTGTGGTCTCATTTCTTTCCGGGTCCCAACCAGAAATCTAAGGTCAGCAATGACATCATGACATTTTCCACTGAGCAATTAAAAAAAAATCACACACATTTTACATAGATAAAGCCCTTTGCAATGTGTGGACGGCACTCGTGAGAACAATTTTTTGCATTTCTTTAAGGCATGAACTGCCAGAAATCCCTTCAATGAGTCTATTGGAATCTTTTCCAACCAATCTGAGGGCCCCAACTACAACTTTTGAAGTTCTCATGTGCCACATTTTTGAGATTTTGATTTTGAGGTCCTTGTATTTTGATAGCTTTATAATAATAATAATAATAATAATAATAATGATAATAATAATAATAATAATAATTATTATTATTATTATTATTATTATTATTATTATTATTATTATTGTGTGCAAAATATTCAAAATGATATCCGGAAATTTCGTCATCATTTCTTCTTTACTTCCAACAATGAGACGATATTATCAAATGAATGGATATTAAATGAATGGATATCCAATAAATGGATATTATCAAATGAATGGATATTAAATGAATGGATATTATCAAATGAATGGATGTTCGTAGTACAAAATTATGGAGGTAAATAAAGAAAATTAAATGTCCTCATTGACTTGTGGTTTACGGTTACGTTTTTATTGAATCGTTAAAAGGTTAAAAAATTTAACTTTGTTATTTACTTTTTATTTTTTTTTAACTGTACAAAAATGTTTTTTTTAAGTTTGTTTGCTTGACATTGAAAATAAATATTTTTAAAGACTTTCGGACTAATAATTTTATTTTCATTCTTTTTTTTTCAAACATTCAGGATTAAGCATCAAATTAGTGATTGCTTGCTTCTAGAGAGTAGATTCCTATGACCTGTTGTATTTTGGTTAGTGAGGAGATGGGCATCGTCTAGTAATGCCTATTGAGCGGACAAATAACTTAAGGACCCAGAATGGTAAACCATCGATTATGTTTTTCGTGTTTCATCATCATTTTAATTATTGTTTTTTTTTTTGTTTTACATTTTGAATTTTTATTTTTTTAATTTTATTTATTTATTTATTGGCTATTTTACATTCAACTTTTTTAATCTTTTCTTTCCTTACTTCGTTTTACATTTTTTTCTATTTATTTCTTTTTCCTTTATCCTTTGTCATATTCTTTTTTATTTTGCCGTAAACTTCATTCATCTTTTTCATTCTTCTTCTTCTTCTTCTTCTTCTTCTTCTTCTTCTTCTTCTTCTTCTTCTAGTGCTGCTGCTTCTGCGGCTGCAGCAATGTCTCTTCATTTTTATTTTGCTTATTTTTCCCCCATCTCTCTACTCGCCATCGCCGTCGTCATCAACATAATCATCATCATCATCATCGTCATCGTCGTCGTCATCATCATAATCATCATCATCACCCCCATAAGCTAGCGTTGAAATTACAGCTGCGATAGAAATTCCATTCGCTAACTCAAATATTTTCCAAAAAGTCGGCATTTCTCTCCGCCCCCGACCTTTCTTCTCTTGCCGACGAACCCTTACTCTCCAAATACCTTCCCTCCTTACTCTCCACTACGATTCCGCTTGGCAACCCGACCTGTTCTCTCTCATCAGAAAAACCCAAATGGTATCGCACCGCCATTATGATAACACCTCGTTAACGAAGGAAGCGACGACGACGACGAAAAAGAAAGTAAAGGTAGGGTAACGATCGGCGAGCTTTGCATTTGGGGAAGAAAGGCTTGTGAGTCAAGGAGGCTGACCGTTTCCAAGGTCAGTCGATTACCTCCCAGCTCCTTCTCGCTTGTTGGGAAATTGCTTAGGAACAACATCTATGCAAATCTTATTTCCCTTTAGACGATATCAAAAACGGAAATACCACGAAGGACAAGGGAGGTAAGTACGAAAAGAAACATGGCCGAATATTGAGATATTTTCAACCTCTGCCTTGTCAGAGTTGGAGATTAAAGTTTATCATCATGCGAAAGAAAAATGTCTCATAATGAGGTTTAAAAACAAATACTGAAGACTAATTTTTGATTTATTCATTTTGGTAAATTAAATAACTTGTGTGTACGTGTTAATATCAAGCATGAGTGGAAAGTTCGAATGTACTCAGTCAAGTTAAGCCCTTGCTTTGGTTTTTATCTTTCAATACAATCTATCTATCTATCTATCTATCTATCTATCTATCTATCTATCTATCTATTCTATTCTATTCTATTCTATTCTATTCTGTATATCTATCATCAATCAATCTGTTCATACCTATCTCTAAACCTATTCATATTTATCTCACTCTATTCTCATCTATCTATTGATATATCTATCTATCTATCTATCTATCTATCTATCTATCTATCTATCTATCTATTCAAATCTTTTCATATCTCTGTTTATCTATGCATTCAAATCTTTTCATGCCTATCTATCTATCTATCTATCTATCTATCTATCTATCTATCTATCTATCTATCTATCTATCTATCTATCTATCTATCTATCTGTATAGCTGTTTCTCTCCCACACACACTCTCTTTCTATCTATGTATTTACGAGAGGATACAGAAAAAAAACATTTGATGTCTGAAGATTTTGGCAAGTAGGTATGACCGAAAACTTTTCAGCACCCATCCGTATTGTTGCGTCTTCTATTAATTATGAAATTAATTAATTTTAATTAGTTCATTTACGAAGCCATTGAGTATTTACAATTAATCAGATGCACCTCATTAAATCCTCAGCCATTATTTATTTGTTGATGTTTCTCTTTCTTCAAATATCAAAATGGAATCATAGAATGATTTCAGAACTATCAGCCATAGTTACGCCATGAAGAACATCTGTTTTCTGAGTCATTGCAAAAGAGGCTTTTGCAAAAGAACAATTCTTGACAAGAAATTCTTGCTTTTATTGTTGCTGTTAATATTATAAATACTTGAATTTTCACACAACTTATTTGCATTACTTACATTGTTCGGTCTGTTGTCCTCATCTTTATTGCCATATTCACGACGTTTCGGTAGTTATACGTTCCAGCCTTCTTCAGTTGACTGTAATTTAGAAGTGAATCCTTTATTTTGGTCACCGGGGTAGATTTTCCTAGTTACAGTTGCCATGACTCTTCCGGCTGCCAAAGTTATCTCCCTTTAACTGAATCCTCCAAGTTTTTCTTCATCCCTACAGTAGTACCAGGTACTGAACGTACAACTATTTGTGTCAAGTCACTGGATCCAACCAACGTTTTTATCCACTGGGTCATGTGTCATTGATGTGGACAAAATAAAGGCTTCAGTTCAAAATTCCAATCACCTGAAGAAGCTGAAACGTCGTTAATATAACAATAAAGTTGAGGGCAACAGTCTGAACACGGAATGTAATTAAAATACCTCATTTCAGATATTTCACACAACTGTTAACCAATTTCTTTTATTTTTTTGCTGGGGTCAAATAACAGCAAATATGCTTAATTTTATGTTCTATTGATTCGTTCAACAATGAAATAAATAGATTAGTTTCAATTTTTCAAGTTTTTTTAAAGAATTTTTTATACAAATCTAAACTTAAACAATATTCCGGAATTAAAAAAAAAAATTTCCGAATATTTATCCAGTTTGGTTAGGCAGCAACATTTAATTTTTGACAGATTTTTTTCGTTTTTTTTTTTTGGAAACAGCGAGATCTTTTTGAAGTGGTTATCAGTCGAAATCTGAATTTTTGAATCATTCTGACTTGTTCTATTTAGCAAAGCAGTTTCTGGTTTGCGTTTATACAATTTTCTTTTCGGATGGGCGAAAACAAACAATTTGTACTATCTTCAGTTTATTGCATTTTATTAAGTACCCAGCCAGCATGTTATTGTACATTGTCAATACTATTGTGATGTAGTTGTAATAAACTTCTATTTATTTGTTATATCAGTTCATTTCCATTTTAAGTGTCCTCACCGCGCCTAAGCCCAGGTCATTTCGTTTGCATTTTTTTCTTTTAAATTTTAGAATTAAAAAAAGAAAGAAAAAATAGCTGATCTACCATTTTATGGTCTTGAAGTTTTGATTCCTTTTCTTCTCCTCCCAGCTATAGGTAAATAGCAGTACAGACCGTTTTTTATAGCCTTGGATGGCAACTGGTCTACCGCAGAAAGAAATGGCAACCTACTGCGGGCAAAAAAACCTGCCTCATCAGTCATGTATCAATACATGATGGCCTAAGCGTGTATCACGCATGGTACAGAACTGAATGTCAAAGTTCCCACACCCCAAAATTATTGCCCACACGCAACAATTCTTACTCTTGCGATGTTAAAGAAGAAGAAAAGAATTAGAAAAAGACAGGTTTTTTACGGCTTATCAACATTTTGCAGATTATTTAAAACCGAAAGCTTTTTGAAAGCAATAATGATTTACTGATAGAAATATTATTATTTAATCCTTGGGGAACAGGGGTATAGTCATATCTTTCTCAAGGGTATTTGCGAGTAAGTGAATATCTTATACGACTGAAATTGACACTCGACTCTCCATTTTTTAATTAACACTCGTTAGCCATTGCACCAGATCCAAGCACCTGGTATTTCTAACCGGTCACCCATCTAACTACTGACGAGGTTCGATGTTTCTTAACTTCGGTGATGTGGCCGTAAGCCAAGAGACAAAGACCTAATGTAAATAGAAAGAAGGAGGAAAGAAAAGAAAAACAAAGAAACAAATGAAAAAGGAAATGATGAAAAAACGATAAAGAGTGTAAGAGAAGAGAATTTAGAAATCGAAAAGAGAGGGAGAAGAAATGTAACGTCGAAGAGAGAGAAAGAGAGAGAGAGAGAGAGAAAGAGAAAAAAAGAGAGAGAGGTGACGAGGCGTGAGAGGTAATGAGAAGTGTGAAAGAGAAGGGAAAGAAGATAAATGAAATAAAGTGTTTAAGAGAAATGAAAAAGAAGGAAAGGAAGGGGGGGGAAATAGAAGATAAAAGAAAGAAGACAGAGAAGTGGGAGAGATTTTGCCGATTGAAGAAGGAAAAAAAATTATAGAACGTAAAGAAGAAGAGCAAAAGAAAGAAGGACGAAGAGAGAGAGAAAGAGTGAGAGAAATAAAAAGAGAAAGAGAATGAGAGAGAGAGAAACAAAAAGAGGTGAGGGATAGAAACAGAGAAGGAAAGAGAGAGAGAGCGAGAGAGAGAAATAGAATATTGAGAAATAGGAAATTTTCATAAAAGAAAAGATCTTTATTTAATATCAATTCTCTTATGAATGCTTGTAATTTACTTACAGATTAAAAGAGAGACTTGAGGCAAAAGAGATTTGTTCGACAGAAGGATGCTGAGAATATTATGGACGGGATATGTGAACAACGCTGAAATCTTAAGAAAAATGGGAATTAAATGTATTTGAAATCAGAAAGTTAAAATTTGGGAGGAAAGAGGACTTTGAAAATTTGATACTCACAAGGTAAGAGAGGCACGAGAGAAACGGATACTGCACCTAAATAGCTACCAGCACCGATCCGATAAAAAATTAGCATATCATGATGAAAAAAATAGCAATATCATGATGAAAAAATTAGCATATCGTGATGAAAAAAAAATGCCCCAAACAAAGTTTTATCGTCAACATTTATGTTATTAAGAGGAAAGACCAAACGATTTTTCATTATTAAATTATATTTTTTTAATCCTTTTTAGAATATTCGAAACTTTAGTTAAAAATCTTTTTTTTTCCTCGCGTCAGCGGGATCAGTAAAGATTAGAATAGGAAATTTTAACGTCTTTTTTTTTTGCGGTGAAAAAATACATTGATTTGGAAATTCTTGCAAAAATAAAATAATTAACGGTTTTTAGTAAAACTTTCAGGACTTATTCAGAAATGAATGAAATTGTTTTAGAAAATTTTGGTAAATTTATTTTTTTACACTTTTTACCCCTAAATTTATTCAATTATATGAAATTTCGAGAAATTAAATTTTGTACAGCTTAATGTTTATATTAGTTAAAAGCCTAGCATCTTGGAGAATTTAAATCAGCAATTCCTTTTTATAAAACAGAAACCCAGTTACTGACAATCTGCACTGAATCGTGAAATAAAAAATTCAATAAAACTAAGATATTATTTAATTAGAAAAAAACTTTTAATTGCATTTGTGAATAAGATATGTGAGGGACACTATTGTTTTAAGAAAAAATTTAGTGAATAATGAATTTATTTTCTTTTTTAATTTTAATTATAATAATTTATAAAGTTTTAAATCTTTAAAATTCTGTCTTACTTTGCAGAGGTCAGGTGATATTGTAATTAAATAAAAACTTTGTTTGCTCATCATAAATGAGAAAGCTTACAACAATTCACTGACATCAATATTTTAAAAAAAGTTTTGAATTTTTTTAGTGTATAAACGTGCCACTTTTTGTAAATACGGAAGCCCATACACGACATTATTATAAAATAAGATCGATAACTATAGTAAATTTAAGACCAAAGTACCTAAAATTCAATAATATTTTCCTAAATTTTAAAGATTACTGGCTAGTTAAAAATCTTGTAAAAAAGGCGCTCACGTTATATTCTTCAAGTAAATTTTACAGATATTTCCATCATAGAAAAATATTAGATAATCTTCCGTCCGTCAGTCAAGCTGTCAACACCTTAAATAAACAGCTATCACCGTGTTACAAAAGCATTTCTGCGATATTTCAAACTTAAAGTAAGTAATATTTGTTTCATATAAGATAAATTAAACATTACATCAGCTAATATTCCACAAAGAAGTTTTCAGAAAAGCATATTTTATTTTTGTAAGATTTATAATAAAGGGAATTAGATTTTGATTAAAGATGGTTTCCAGTCAATTTAAATTAGTTTTGAAATCCAGCAAAGTTGTTTTATAATAAGCAAAACACTTTGCTGGATATCAAAACATTAAATATTAAATTTAATCTATTAGCTTGAAATTAAAGCTAAAATAAAAACTTCTCGAAAGATTTTTTATTTTTACAAATACATTTTAATCGTTAGTTATCGCATTTCTGTAGTGATACCTACACCTAAAAAGTTTGTGTAAATGGTTGGCAGAACAGGAAAATGGAGAGAGATAAATAGGGAGCTGTGAAGAGTTATGATCACACATGTCCTGAAGCGACAAAACAGATAAAAGAAGACGAATCATGATCATAATTTTAATATCTAAGGAAGTAACGATGATCAATTCAAGAGAAACAAAAAGCAATGATTCGGATTCCAGTTAAATGCCGTAAATATTTGTTTGTGATTTTCGTGACGACAAAACTGACTTTCTTCTTTATAGGTTAACTGAAGTTTTTGTGCCGAGTCCAACAACAAAACACGCTAAAAACAACCAAATTTTATGCTATGAAAGTAAAACAAATATCAAAAAGTTTTTCCTATTAATAAACAATTGCCTATTGAGTCTATATGTTTTTCGTTCAGCTGCAGTCACAAACAAAATATTTGTTGCGTAATTTGACGTCACTTTACATTGAATGAGAAATGGTTTCATTAGAATTATTCGATATTTTCAAGTATATGTTTATTTCCCGGTTAGCTCCTTAATAGCGGGGGATCTTGAGCCTTGGTT